GAAAGCCGATCCGGTGATCCACAGCGCAAAGATGTAGTATTTCCTCAGCAACCAGCACGGATCAGCTCCAGGCATGATGAAGCAGATATCGTCCTCTTTTGGAAGACCAAACAAAGTAGTTTCGCTTTCACAACGAATCACAGCGCCTTCAAGACATGGCAGCGGCGGCAACAACAATACTACAGCGAGAATAAAAGTTACGCCTTATTTCTTTGTGTGAACATTTGGGCGGCGTAGATATGTGGGGGCGTGTTAGAACGAGCCGTTTTAGGTAGGCGTGGCTGACTCTTAACTTTTATAAAGAATATCTCCTGAAAGTGTGCCGTGGGTGGAGCTACATTTTTAAATGATTTTAATGAACTGTAATAGGGTTGTGCTGATAGACGATAGTATTATTTATTGACAGTAGTCTGAGATATTGCCTGTGGCTGATGCCTTTGATGATAGCAAGACGAAATCAGGCTAGTATTATTATCTAATTAATATTAGGGCTTATTTGTTCCATATTTCATTTTCTGAGTTTTACAGCTTTGTGCATTATAAGCAATCACACACCATTGTGTTGAGTTTATAAATGCAATGGCCAATCAGAGGCGTTAAGATGAGTAATCGCTGAAACACCGGAGTTTTGCCATTCAGTGCGCGCACTCCCTGGCTGCATTCTGCTCTCTCACAAATTCTCTCATCATAAACAACAAAGTGCAGATGTACGTGCAATGTAAGCATAAGAGATTTATTCATCATACAGTGTAGAAAGCTTCAGTAATTATAACGGGAGTGTTTTTTTTTTAAGTGCATAAACTCGCACTAGACTGAAGTCCGTGATGATGTTCTTTGATAAAGTAAATGTTCTTTGCTCGTTTTCTGTAGCTGCTGTTTGAATAACTGAGGAAATGTAAGCATTTTAATTAGTAACTTACAATGTTTCTATTAAATTGTTATCATGTTAAATACAAATTATAATTTTTATGATATGACATCCAGATGCTACTTGGCTAAAAAGATAATGTGTAGTTAATAGATTACACTAACATTAGGCTGCCTTTAGCCTTACCCTAGAGATGGTTCACTCTCCGGCTATGAATCTAAGTAAATAATTAAATGATTTACTATGATAAAGTGAGTAAATAATTAAATTAATTATTTTTATGATAAGGTAAGTAAGTAATGAAATGAATTATCATGATAATAATGTCTCTAAATGCGATCTCACAGGTTGATGATAGGACGATATGACTGTGGAGCATACAGTGGGGAAAAAAAGTATTTAGTCAGCCACCAATTGTGCAAGTTCTCCCACTTAAAAAGATGAGAGAGGCCTGTATACCTCAACCATGAGAGACAAAATGAGAAAAAAAAATTCAGAAAATCACATTGTAGGATTTTTAAAGAATTTATTTGCAAATTATGGTGGCAAATAAGTATTTGGTCAATAACAAAATTTAATCTCAATACTTTGTTATATACCCTTTGTTGGCAATGACAGAGGTCAAACGTTTTCTGTAAGTCTTCACAAGGTTTTCACACACTGTTGCTGGTATTTTGGCCCATTCCTCCATGCAGATCTACTCTAGAGCAGTAATGTTTTGGGGCTGTCGCTGGGCAACACAGATTTTCAACTCCCTCCAAAGATTTTCTATGAGGTTGAGATCTGGAGACTGGCTAGGCCACTCCAGGACCTAGAAATGCTTCTTACGAAGCCACTCCTTCGTTGCCCAGGCGGTGTGTTTGGGATCATTGTCATGCTGAAAGACCCAGCCACGCTTCATCTTCAATGCCCTTGCTGATGGAAGGAGGGTTTCACTCAAAATCTCACGATACATGGCCCCATTCATTCTTTCGTTTACACAGATCAGTCGTCCTGGTCCCTTTGCAGAAAAACAGCCCCAAAGCATGATGTTTCCACCCCCATGCTTCACAGTAGGTATGGTGTTCTTTGGATGCAACTCAGCATTCTTTCTCCTCCAAACACGACAAGTTGAGTTTTTACCAAAAAGTTATATTTTGGTTTCATCTGACCATATGACATTCTCCCAATCCTCTTCTGGATCATCCAAATGCTCTCTAGCAAACTTCAGACGGGCCTGGACATGTACTGGCTTAAGCAGGGGGACACATCTGGCACTGCAGGATTTGAGTCCCTGGCGGCACAGTGTGTTACTGATGGTAGCCTTTGTTACTTTGGTCCCAGCTCTCTGCAGGTCATTCACTAGGTCCCCCCGTGTGGTTCTGGGATTTTTGCTCACAGTTCTTGTGATAATTTTGACCCCACGGGGTGAGATCTTGCATGGAGCCCCAGATCGAGGGAGATTATCAGTGGTCTTGTATGTCTTCCATTTTCTAACAATTGCTCCCACAGTTGATTTCTTCACACCAAGCTGCTAACCTATTGCAGATTCAGTCTTCCCAGCCTGGTGCAAGTCTACAATTTTGTTTCTGGTGTCCTTTGACAGCTCTTTGGTCTTGGCCATGGTGGAGTTTGGAGTGTGACTGTTTGAGGTTGTGGACAGATGACTTTTATACTGATAACGAGTTCAAACAGATGCCATTAATACAGGTAACCAGTGGAGGACAGAGGAGCCTCTTAAAGAAGAAGTTACAGGTCTGTGAGAGACAGAAATCTTGCTTGTTTGTAGGTGACCAAATACTTATTTTACAGAGGAATTTACCAATTAATTCTTTAAAAATCCTACAATGTGATTTTCTAGATTTTTTTTCTCTCATTTTGTCTCTCATAGTTGAGGTATACATATGATGAAAATTACAGGCCTCTCTCATCTTTTTAAGTGGGAGAACTTGCAAAATTGGTGGCTGACTAAATACTTTTTTGCCCCACTGCATAACTGAATTGAAGCATAACTTATGGATTGATAAACAAACATTGGGCAAATATGGAAGAATGACAGAATAAAAGCCTTACATTGTGCATAGTCTTGAAGAAGAGAGAATTCATTTGGACTCAAAGTGACCCATTTTTCCTCATTCGACATGCTGTCCAGTGTTTATCTGCCTCTGTTTACATACATAAGATCCAGCAGCTCAGCCTCTGTGGAGAGAATGAAAAAACTGTCAATCACCTTGTAAATCTGACAAAACTCATCTTGTGTGATATAGTCTAGCTTTATTTCTCATTCATGTACAGTATATGTGTAAAGCCGTGTTTTTGCGATTCTGTACTTAGTTTCGGTTATTACAGAACAACAAGAAAAGTAGCTATAAGTGTATGCTAATTAACAAAATCTAATGTACCGGCATTGAACTTGCGTAGATTGAAGATGCTGTCCTTCGTAAAATGTGCAGCACAGAGAGCTATATTGGTATTATAATTTTCAGGAGCAGGGCATTTTTAATTTTAACCAACAAAGAGGACTTGCAATCGGGGTGAAAATAGCAGCGTTTCGATAGTATGGCAAGAACACTCTACTACAACAACTCTTCCTCTTCTCTAAAGCATCCCAACATGGCCTCGGCCCCTGCAAAATCCCTTTTCAATTTAGCATCCCCAGTGTCTTGAGAACAAGCTTTAAAATGTTAATATATACTATAAAAGTATATAAATAATACTAAAATAACAGTGGTTACTGTGACTATTCATTTGTTTTGAGGTGCAATTTATACTGTCTCCAAAGTGACAAACTCTTCCATCTGGAACACAGAACAACCTGTCTGGCTGTGTAGCACCAATGTCTAAATTTGTCCTGTGTCTAAATTTTTGTGGTTATCCCTTCGAACCTGCAGTTCCATTAAAACACACTCAGTGTTGCTTATTCCCTCTCTATTGCTTTGTTTCATTTGATGTTATTTGGAAAATGAAAATGTCATAGAGCAGTACTGGCAGTGCAGTACAGTCTGTATATAGAGTGATCGTTCCTCTGCTGCTGTGTGCAGGTCTTGATGTTTGGTTTTCAGTCATAGTGCCAGAGAGGCTTGTTTACTTCTGTGAGATGAAGCCATTAGATAGAACACGTCCAGACAGAGGCACTCAGCGTCTCACCACATTGGTTGATGATGCATGGCTGGGTGTTCCTCTAACAGGCGGCTTGCTACTATACCACACTGTGCTAAAATTACCACGGTCTCTAGACTCTGAGCTGGGACATGCTGACACGCAGGGTGACAAAAAGTTTTAAATACCGTGCACTGTATTTTTGCATATGGTTAAGATCTGTTGTTGTTAAAGGTTGATAGTTTAACAGTTGGTGTCTTCTCCAAAGTAAGAATGTAATCATTCTGCACAAATGTTTAAAATTAATCTTTTTAGATACAGTTGGAGGGTTGAATATGTTCTAAATCTGATTCCATATGATTTGTCTGTGCAGGGTGACTCCCGGTCATACAGTTATGTTTGTGGGGTGAGCAGTAAAGAGGCCCCTCACTGGGATTCACTGATGTTCCTGGCCAGACTCATCCCTCGGATCTGTCACTCCATCAACAGGTAACGTCATCAGGTTGACTTTTTGCTCCAGCCCTCTTCCCACCAACCATGTGAGGAACTATGGGATTTATTCACTGATAATCATCCCCGTTAAACAGACCCTCTTAAACCTCTTGTGCTTGTTTAATTAAAAATGATTTGTTTAGACGTGTCACATCAGGTTCGATGTCATTGATTGATGCTAAATGCCATTGCAAATGAGATTTGAGTGCTGTGGCAAAAAGGACTTACTAGGGATTTGTGCTATGACTAATTTCACTGCTGTTTAAACAGAAATTTCATAACCGACTAGTCTAAAAGAAACCCTCAGAACACGGTCAAAAACAGTGTCTGTATGTGGAACCCATTTGAAATACATAAACTATGAATCTAACAGTCAAATAATCCTAGATATCTATATTATCCGAATTGATCTTATTTTCCACCAAACGGTTGAAATTTACAACATTGGCGGCAACAAAACCAGCAGGATGAATGAAAATGCACATTCACTCTCTGACAGTGGGTGGAAACAAAGCAGCGCTGCACTTATAAACACTGTTTTATTAGGCATTACACGGAGATAACATGAAAAATATCAACAAAACTTTGATTTTTGAAGAGAGTCAGTTCCCTTTCATTCATAATGTTTCTGCTTTTAATTGGGTAAATGCGCTCCTGCACCTTGCTTGTCTTCCAAGCGGACATTTCTCTGAGCCGGCAGCGAGTGTCACGAAGGAAACGCATGCATGCAAGGCCTGAGGTGTAAAGACGGGTGTAATGGCTGCTGAAAATTCAGCTTTGCCATCACAGAAATGAATTGTTTTAAAGGGGACATTGGATGCAAAATTCACTTTTAAAATGGTGTTTGAACTTAAATGTTTCTTGTCAATGTGTACACACAACCACCCTATAATGATAAAAGTCCACCCAGTGCTTTTTTTTTTTTTTTTTAAATCCCCACAAATCATAAGCACTTTCCCAAAACAAGCCGTTCACAAAATCTGGGAAGGGCAAAGTGGCGTCACTTTGCACAGGCCCCTCCCACGACTTTTGACGGACACTGCCGTTTTAGAATAGACCCGCTCTGAGTGAGCTGTAAGCAGTCCGCCATTGTTTCGATGCCGCAGCAGGTGTAGACAAGAATGTCTCCTAATCGATTGAGGTGTTTTTTTTTTTGTTGGATGTAAGAATGAACGTATAGCAGTCATCATTTACTCTGAAGACGCAGTGGATTTTTGAAGGGAATGCATTTATGACTGCGCAAATCACTTTACTCCAGACTGCTTTCGGAACG